GATTCAAAAGACAACAGTGTGCACTAAAAATGGATGTTACATAATGCAAATGACCCTAATTGTAGGTGGAGCTGTTGGAGCTGTTGGAGCTGCTGGAGCTGTGATATTTACCTAAGACCTTCACACATTAAATTTTCAGCGTGCTGACGTCTTGTTTCCTCTTCCCTGGGCCTGCATCTGCCCCTGTAAGATTCGAGCTCTCAGCCTAATAATCACGACAGCTCAGCACCGTTTCTGACTTAACAGGGATCATTTTATTTCTTTCAAAACATTTTTTTTTAGTTATTACTATCCACATTTAGCAATTTGCAGTCATGTTTCTGTCTCTTCTGCTCTGTTTTTGCTGTTTTTTTTAACCATTTCCCAGGAGGCCTTTTCCAGGCTTTTTAGCTGCTAAATGCTCCAATAGGTTTGCCAGACTGCCCCTAAGTGTGTCTACATGCCTGTTTGGTGCCAAGCAGAAAGTGTACAGTGGCTTTTTTACTGAAAAAGGAGAAGTGGCAATGAACTGAACTCTGAAATTTGCTGTGATAACGTTTCATAAAGCTGGAGGATGTGCGGATTCACGTGACAGTTTTTGAGAGCCCGGCATCCCCATTTCACATGAATGTTTAAAAAAAATGATTGTAATTTCTCCACTGAACTGCCCTGTGAAATATAATGAACACCATCGTAAAGAGTTTTGACTCATGTAGCGATTGATTTGATATGATGTGTATGTGTTCAAGCTGATTTATCACCGCTGCATGTCAACACCCTACAGCCCAGTCGATACAGCACGTCATTGATCATTTCACTCAACTGTGTTTCTCTCAGTACTTGACCTTTACTAATAGACTGGAAAATCAATTGAATTCCAGCGCTGCTGATGAGTAGGCTTACTGACGGCTTGATGAAGAAGGGGACACAACTGCAACTGGGAAAATGTAGTCGGTATATTCTATGAGACGATTATCTACTTTGTTATTTGGTGAAGAGTGTCTGTTTGGGACTAAAGCAGACTCAAAATAATGTCACACTTGCACTCGTACGTCCTCCCCTGGCCAAATGTTCTTGTTTCCCACCACAACCTGCCTCGGGGTAGTTGGTGGATGTGTCTGTGCTGAGAGTAAGGGCTCTGGGCAAAAAATCAGGACAAACTGACATGTTGAATATTTCAGGACGTAGTCTCACGCCACATAAAATATCAACATGGCTTCAAGTAAGCTCAAAGCTCTATCTGAGCATCCGCCACAATAATCTTTGTCCTAAACCATCAACAGTCGCTTAAGGGGACTCAAGCAGAAGGCGTGTATCTGAGGATGATGCACATCCAGCAGGGACCAACTCAAGCTGCCTCAAACTACAGAACTGTTTCGTGTTTGGCTGAACAGGTGTAACTGTGGCTTATGCTCGGTCATGTTTCTGCCTGTCCTCTCTACGTCTCTGTCTCCCTTGTGGGATGCAAATGTCAAAGGAGAAAAACGTCCTGATGCTGCCTGGCAGAAAAATAAAATAACAGCAGGCAGCTGCTGCGTGACGTCTGCCTCTGTTCTTATCGTTTTATAAAAGACTCCAGAAGAGTTTTTATCCCGAACTGACTTCTGAATATTTTAGTGATCATATAGAACTTGGGTGTTCTTGTAGACTTACTTGTGATAAACAAGCTCGTAAATAATCAAGGGATGATCTTTTAATGTTTGTCTGCCAAAGGGCCGGCTGTGTTTTTTTAAGTGTCTGATTTTTCAGTTGGATTCTCAATTTATCATCGGTCCAAATGTCGGAGTGTTGTTTTGATGAGCCTGAAAAAACAGAATAATCAAGCATCATGCCCGCAGTAAACCGACTGAACTATGATGCCTGTGGTGAGTGTCTCTCACCAGGGATTTATTTTAAACTCATGGCAATGACAAATGGTTTCACAATAGATCTGACTTTGGGAGAACATCACAAGATGCAGCTCTTATTAATAACAAATAAACCTACTTTTTCAGTCAGTTTCTCACTAAGAGATGTGATTAAAAATGTATGTAACTGGCTCTATAACAAAGAGAAAATCATATGCGACTAAAAGTTATGGTTGCCATCTCCTTCAAAGTCTCCTTCTGACCACTTAAACATATGCATCTGTGACTCTGCCACAGATCTCAAGCTGCACCATCAACTTCACAGTCAAACTGACCTGACCTTCTTTTAAAGGATCATCACCAGGAATGAGAGATGCAGTTATAAACAGAGACTTTTAGAAAAAGCTGCAGTCTGCAGTGCAAAGAAAGCACATCAGGACTGAAATCAACCAAGACCAGTACTCATCATCTGCCCTATTCAAAGGCTGTGGCTCCCTACAAGCTCTTCCCCTTTTTCCACAATGAAATTTGACTTGAAGTGCTTTTTTTGACACAGTGGTCAAGATCCAGTGTGTGCAGCGATTGCACACCTGTAAGTGGCCAGAACAGGTCTTCCAATCAAAACATATTTTGCTGCACAAGATTACAACCTTGAAGCAGATAGGAGGCATATTTTTTTTATAGTTTCTGCCTACAGGCCCAGCCTCTAACCTTTTTGATTGCACCTCATATGAGTGACTAGTGGCACTGCACAAAACTATATCTATACCAAAAAAAACTTTTAAAGGAGTTTTAAAAACTATTCTTTCGTTTTCTTTTGTCCTCTCATTTGAAAAAAAACCCCCCACTATTTAGTCAGGTGTGCGCAAATTTTTTAGCAATCCATTTAATAGTGTTATCAAATCTTTCAAAAAATGAACATCCATGAAGCCATGCAGTGCAAATGCATATGGACCACACTTAAGAAACTTACGTCCTTGCCATATTAATCTGGTTTTGCAAATAAAGGAATGCATAATCTTGCCTTGGATCTAAAAATAAAAAGCTATTAGTGCTGCATGTAGTTAAAGGCAATCATTTAACACCGATCGTAATTTTCCCATGAGACTGAGAGGTGGCATCTGATAATCTCCTACGTGCCCCTAAAAACGATGTCTTGCTTGAGGCGACAAGCCTGAGTGTGTGGTTGTCAGGTGGATTTCCAACAGCATTCATTTACATTGTAGGAGTTTAAATAGCAAGTGTAATGCAAATTTTTGTGAAAATTAAAATGAAATGCATTTAATGAAATGCATGGGCATATTAGTTAAGACTGGACACTTGAAGGCAGTGGAAATTAGTGTCAGTCAACTTCTTAAAGTGCTTTTTCCCTGTATTTAAAGTGCCAGCAGCATAAAAAAAACATACAGCTTCAAACCAATAATTCAGTGCAGCACAGCTGATAATTTGCTCACTTTGCGTTACTATTAAACAGCCTTGATGTTTAATTTAAACAAGAACAAAATGTACAAGTTGCTAGAGTTAAGGAAGTTCATGCTCCAGTTTCCAAAGAGAACAAGGATCGGCTACTGTTAATAATCGTTGACGGCTGCATTGGCAGTTAACCATCTGCCTCTTTTCTCGACGTTCCCAGGGAGGCAGAGAGGACAACAATGCAATGATGCCAATCCACATCATTAGTCAGTGAAGTGACCAACAAAACATAATCATTAAAAAAAGAAAGGAAAGAAAGAAAGCCGCAACGTGTTTGATCAGTCAGAGACAGTCACTGGAAAAGTCTTCGCTCCGGCAGCCGAGCAGCTTCGAGGAGTGATTTGTCAGTAGATATCAATCAAACAGAGACAAACGCAAGTGGCAGGTCGGGTGCAGATGTAAAGCAAAAAGAGCATGAACACATTTCACAGCTGACTTGGCAGGATTGGAGGATTAATTGCGCTGCCATTAGTTAGACTTGAGGAATTACAGTCGTTGAAATTCCTGTGAGAATACAGTTTTTTGACTGTAATCCTCAGACGTATGTGGACGGGGTGAGCATCGGCGTCCCGGCGAGATACGCTTGTGTGTACTCACACATTCGCACAAAGACAGTCGCACAGCCCTGCCGTCACGCCCTCGGTACTTTTTTGCCTGCTCAGTTCTTTAAAGTCATTAACTTGCATCCTCCTATCTTTCATTCTCCTTCCACGTCTCCCTATTTTCCCTCCACTCTCTCTCTCCCCCTGCGGTTTCTGTCACTTGTTCACAGACGAGTGGCCATTACATCGCTATGACCTAAATGTGTCACAGCCCTCTCTCTATGACTCTCTCCCTCTCTCCCTCCTCTTGCTCTCTCCCTGCATCCCTTCGTGTCCGTCTGGACATCTATCAAATTTTTCCCCACTTCTTGCCCCTACTATTTACACCCACTTTTAAAAGCGCAACACTTTTTGACCAGTTTTGCAAATGCTGACCTCAGTATTATCGGCCTGCCTCTCCTTTGTCTCTCTGCCTCTCCACTGAAAGTCACTGGAAGAGTAAACAGTCAATATAGCACCTCTGATTTAACAGTTTCTCTGTATTTGTCCTTAAAAGTCCTGATGCAGTTGTTAAATCCCTCCAGATGCATTGCTTGGATTGTCTCGTCCTTCTTCGTCTCATCTTATCCTGACCTGACCTGTCTGCCCTCATCTCCTTCTGGTCTCTACATCAAGCACAGCAGAGTATCGGGGTGACAGCAGCTCCATTCAGTATTGATCCAGATGCTTATCTCAACAAATATCACAAAAAAAGAAAGAAAAAGAAAAGAGAGCTGGCAGGAAATCAAGCCTGGAGCTTAAGTTTTATACGTTTAGAACCAAAGCATTGCAACAGCAGTTTGTGGGTTTATCAGATGTTTCGAGCAAGATTTTTTCTTCACCAGCCACAGTGACCTCCTGGAGTCCTGCCAGGCAGCCAGCTTTGAATAAGCGCATTACCCGAAACACCACACGATTACTTTAATAGATCATGTTTGTCCCATTCAAGCAACTAAGAGAATATATGAAAAAATAAAAGAATATCTGCGATTTTGACCTTTTTTAAAATCTGTCTCTCACAGCTCTGTGACATTTATAAAAGCATATGTCTAAGCTTTGCATCAAAGAAGCATTGATTCCTTTAGTGCCCGTCAACCTGAACAGTGTCCACCGGACTCACCCAGACAGGCAGATCCATTGAGGTTCGGCTCATAACCTTCATCACAGACGCATCCACCGACGGGCACCATCCACTCTCCTTCAGCATTGCAGTGCATGCGAGGGGGCGTGTCTCCTTGTGCCTTACTGTGAGGGACACACGTCCCAGTCACAGGCACTAAAGCAGTTGGCTCGGCACCCGAGGGAGTCGGTGGATACGAAGCTAGGTAGAGGCTCGTGGCTGGACAGCGGCGGTAGAAGATAGACACCCCCATGAGGGAAACGCAAGCTCCGCTGTCGACGATGGCCAAGACAAATCTAAGAAGAAGGGGGTCAGAGAGCATTCATAAGGTTTAGTGATGCTTTTAAATTGTGAGAAACAAAGTGTCGTACAGAAATGATTACCCTTTGCGTGTGAGGGGAGCAAAGCTGCGTGTCTTAATGTTGATACGGCTGTATCTGTTGGGCTGATACTGGTGAGGTGAGCTGGGCTCCACCTTGGAAAAACTCTTATCGGCTGCGATGGTGTCAATCTTTACCCAGCCCTCCCTGGTCTCCCTCTCCCCGCTCGATGGCTGGAGAAAACACAAATTAGACAGGAGACCAAGAAAAAAAGGATAATTATTGGTCAGGAGGAAACAAAATAGCTTAAAGAGAGTGTGGCTGACATCAAGTAAACAAGGGGGAAATTATGGAGGCACTGGTTTACATATAAATATGGTCTGGAAACACATGGTAAGATTAAAGATAAGCTCAGATCGTGCTTTTTTAGTTGCAGGCATATGCATACTATGAAGTAGTTTAGTATGCAGTGTAATCACTGACTTAAGATCTGTGCAGGTCCCAGTGGGGATTCGTGCTGAAGTCCCTGCAAAGACTTTCATCTCTGCACTGCTTCCTGCTCTTCTAAAGCCCTCCTCTGATTCCTCATCAGGCTTTGATTTGCATTTTTAAAAAGCATTTGACTTCCCCAAGGAGAAACGCATTCATCTATACAAACAGAGAATCCCTCCCACTGATGTCTCCTGATGTAGTTCAGGCAATTCACAGACTCAGTAGCTCGAAAAGCAGCAGAGGAAAAGCACTAGATTAAACAACACCAACAACGCTAAGTGCTTAAATAAATAAATAAATCATATGGGAAGTGTCAGTCTTCACTGACAACACATGGGGTTCAGAGATTTTTCCGCACTCCGTAGAAAACGTTCATTGTATGTGTTAAGGATGTAATTAGTGGGGCTGAAGTGACATTTATGGAGACCACAGTGACACTAGATTGTGCTTCGCACCAGTGTAGTCTGAGGATGGTGTCACTTTTTCTTCACCAATCAGTGATTATACAATTGCTCAGTACCATGGGACATGATAGGATTCACTGTTTTGATGGAGCATTAGGGGAATAACAATCAATCACCAACACAGCTCGAGTTTAATGACTCCGTCTGCAGGTGGCCTTGCAGCAAGCGGTGACAAAAAGTCAGGATTTAACACTTGTTCAAATCAACTGTGGCCATATGAGACTCAATTAGAGATTAGTTACTCAACTTTTTATATTTCCAGTTGATGTGTTTGTGTAGTTCTTGGAGGATGCTGAGCAGCAAAACAAAACCAAAACAAACAACAGGATATCTCAGTGCAGTCTGCAGCCCAGCATGTTAGGATTAGTGCACGCAAACTGTGACGTGACTGCCTTGCAACAAGCTTTGTAAACCCACTATTACATTTGTATAAAACTGCTAAGTGCTAGAGTAAAAACTAGATAAAGTGGTGAAAGAGTTTCAAGTGGGAAATCTGTGATTAGGAAGACTTAACAGGCTGTTTATCGTCCTAATCTGTCATTGTTAGTCTATTATATGTGGTTTACTTATTTAGAGATACAGTATGTTTGTTGAATGTAACGTAAAAGTCTTGATAGTTTCTATCTAATGTATCAATGTATATTTCATCTGGATGAAATATGCAAAAGAATAAAGTTAGAATAAACAACACTGATGGAGTCAGTGAAAAACATCCATCTATCCATCCATTTGCTTCCACGGGGGCGCTGGAGCCTATCCCAGCTGTCATAGGGCGAGAGGCGGGGTACACTCTGGACAGGTCACCAGTCTGTCGCAGGGCCAACACACAGAGACAGACAACCATTCGTGCTCACATTCACTCCCGCATTCACACCTAAACAGTGCTAACCACTGTGCCACCGTGCTAACAGGTAACTGCTTTCTGTCTCGCTCATGATTGTGGAGGAATTTTGCCCCATTATTCTTTACAACATTACTTCAGTTTATTAAGATTTGCAGGCAGCTCTGTTCAGGTCCCTCCACAGCATTTCAGACCTGGACTTTGACTTGGCCATTACGACACTTTGATTCTTTTCACTTTCAGCCATTCTGTTGTAGATTTGCTGCTGTGCTTGAGATCTCTGTTCTGCTGCATAACACAGTTTGGGCTAAGCTACATCTGTCTTACATTTGATTCTCAAACTATTTGCTATACAAAGAAATTAATGTTCGACTTAATGACCGCAAGGTACCCAGGCCTTTTGGCCATAAAACAAGCCCAAATCATCACCCCTCCTCCACCATGCTTGACAGCTGCCCTATTCAAAGGATGTGACAAGACAGAAGTCTTGTGGTTTATTCACATGTAACTTTGCAGACCTGAGCCGAGCTTAGACAAGAGCCTTTTCTCCTGGCAATCCTTCTAAACAAGCCAGTATTCTGTCTTTTTCTTGATCAAATGTCATGAACTTTAACTAGCTGAGGCCTGTAGATTCAGAGATGTAGTTCTTGGGTTTTTGCCATTTCTCTGAGCATTGCATGGTCTGACCTCGAACTTGCTGGAACATCCACTCCTGAGAAGATTGCGACGTTATCTTAGCACACACCTGAATGCTCTAGAGCAGTAAACTGCCAAAACATCTGTTTTTATTGAGCTGCTCGCACTTGTTGTTGAGCAATTAATCAAATACATTTGACTTGCAGCCTTGCTGCAACTATGACGTCTTCTGGGTGCACTGTTTCTACAGGACTACACAGAGTCACGTGAAAACTTTCTTTTTCATGTGACCATCAAACCCCAACCTGAAATCTTTAATTACCAGTCATAAAACACAAAAGCCTCAATAAATACTCACTGTTGTTACAGTTGCCACATTTAGTCTGTTTAATACTACATATGTAATTTATTTAACACTATAATTTGGCTTTTTTTTTAAACATTACTTACAGGTGGATTATTTTCAATCGAAGATTAGTTTTATTAAAAATGTCTAGGTTAGAGTCCATCGCTTGGGTTGCTGCTAGTTTCTTTTTTTTTCCAAGATCAGATGAGTTTGTTTATATCCAGATGTTAGAAGAGGGTTTCTAGAAATACTGCCAGAACTGGGTGAGTGTTTGCTGCCAAATTAATTGTTGGGCTTGTGAGGATGTTAAGCCCTGTGACCTGAATTTAGGCTAATGCACGAGTGGCACAAGCTTAGGCAACAAAATTTCAAAACATGCCCATCAGAGGAGAAACCTTTCTTCATCTTTTTGTCATTTTTGAGCCCCGTGCAGTAGAGACAGACAGGAAACACACCAGGAGACAGCCGTGACATGACATGCAGTTCTACCAGCTAGCTAGAAGTCAAACATGTGCTGCTAAGGACATTTTAGCCCATGTGGTGCACATGCTTTGAATTTAGCCATCAGATTAGCTTTTCTTTTAGAACTTTTCTTTTGCTAAGTTCTGGTGCTAACCACAAACACTTTAAGGGCCCTTTTCCAACTCCAGATTATTATTCTTGGACTCTGTTAATGTATCTTGTTCACATTTCAAAATAATGATATTTATCATATCCTGGATCTATCAGTCCATCCTCTGTCTGAAACAATCAGTTTAAGCCAACTTTCTTCAGATTGGCTAGCCCTCACAATTAAACTAAGACCAGCACTGCCAATACAAATACCAGTAAGGACACTTTTAAGCTATAAACGCAGGATATTTAGGGGAGAGGAGTGTCTCATGATTTATGAAATGAAACATCATCAATTTGCAAATTCTGAATATTTTAAAGACCACTGTGATTTTCAAAGAGCTAACACACGAAAATGCACCTTTGAGGTTTTCATGTATTTTGAAACTCAGTTTTTTTGAAGACCTTAGATGAAAATGTGCCCATCTCTAAAGCGCCTCGGGTGAATTTCTGTTGTTCAAATGTGCTATAGGCTATAAATAAATGTGACAGTCAACACAAAAAAAAAATGTTCATACTTTTTTCATAGTGCATGTATAAATAAATAATTTATTTAACACAACACACAGTGTGCTACATACTGAACTCATGGGAAAGAAACGAAGTACCGATGCTTTCACGCGAGTATCAATCCAGGGACATTTGGCTCGATCTGCCAACTTCTAGTAAAAACTTCCTGAAGCTAAACACTCAGAGCAGCCTGAAGCTGAGCTTTTGGCTCCCATATGATTGAAGCTGCCCATGTTTAATATGAGTAGCCACCACTGTAAAACTATTTGACAGAAAATTAACAACAGTATAATACATCATCTTTAGAATCAAATGCATTATCGCAGCTCATCCAGTGTGTCACCTTACCTCAGCTACCCAAGTCCTCTCCAGCTCCCTCTGGGAGTCGGCCTGCTTGTAGTATAGAGTGAGTGTCTCCCTGCAGGCGGGCGACGGTGAACGCAGGCTCGCGCAGTCTCGCACAGAAAAACGCAACGTGACGAACACCCGTGGAGCCGAGTGGCGGTACAGGAAAGGAGTAGCCAACCAGTTGTCCTGCTGACGGGGATTTTGGTTGACATTGCAGACTTCAAAGGTTCGTATGAGCTTCCCTCGGTCATCCAGGACGCTGACCTCATCCCACTGGAAGACAGAAACAATATTATGAGCTTGTGTAAACTGAGCTTAGCAAAACAGAAATAAAACTATAAGCACAGGGCTCCAGAATAGGCCTGTATAAACTGTTAAAACGCCGGTATGTTTATGACTTTTCCACAGCCATGAATCTTACTCATGACTTAGAAGGCGGTTTACATTTTACAAGGTAAATATTGAACATATTGCTGCTGTTGCTGACATCAGCCTTGTCCTTCACTGGGTGTTCTCTGTGGAGGCTACTTGAGATAAGTCTGATAGAGCAGTTGTTTTGTTTTGTTGTTGTTTTTTTTGCTGTAATATCACAGGAAAAGCTTTTGTTCCCTGTCCTCACTGATCTAGGTCGTCTCTATAGTGCTGCAGAGTAGGCTCTCTAATTACTTAATCAATGATTAAAAGAACAGTAATTTAATTAAACAGCTCCAGCCTTTCATTTAGAGCAACATGTTTCAGGTGTTGAAGACAAAACTGTGTTAACAGGGACGGTTCAGCTCTCACTGTGGTGAAGCCTTTGAGGCTTTAGTGTTTTGGTGATTTTTGCCTGTTTGTGGTGCTTAAAAGTGACATTTAACAAGACTGATGCACAGCAGCACTTTTACCTAAATGCTTACGTTGGCATACTAGCTAGCTATTATTTGGTACTTATTCGTTATGTTTTTTTTGCATTTTTAATGTCTCTACACTGAAGTATTTTTGGAAATTGTGCTGTATGCATGGTTTTAAATGTTGCAGAACCTGATTGTGACCTGACAACGAGGGATCTACATAGTTATTATTGATGAAAATTGCATTACGGATTCTTGCAACAATTTTAAATGTTATAGTCTTGTCCTCATGAGTGAAAACTAAACATGCTTAAAGTTGCTGAAATAAACATAATATATACAAGAACTGGGATTGTATGTGACGATCAGATTGGTCCACCTATTGAGGATAGATGCAGACATATATATGCTCATTATATATGATCATTATAGTAAGGTTTATCAAATGTGATAATAATTAATGCATGTAATGAACCTGTCTCCAAACACTCATGGTCAGGACTTGGACTGATTACATTCACTCTCAGATCGGCGAAAGTTTGGAAGTAATTCCAACCTAATTTATAAACGCAGACAGATTCCCAACATGTTGCATTCAGACTGCACCAGTTGTATTCTGGTTATATTCCTATATCAAAACAAGTGTGCAAAGTGTGATTTTGCAGTTTTGCAGCATCTGCGTCTCTGTTTGTGGAGGAATTTCTAAATTTCTGTTTCAGATCTGTGAGGTTCTGACTCGACTTGTGCATGTAGACAAGACAAGTCACAGTTCATCGATGTCATATCACAAACAAACTGCATGTAACTGCCAACTTGACTCCATTCTGTTGCAAACTGATAGCAGACCTTTTTAATCACCTTCTTGACACACCAAAGTCACTCTGAAGATGACCTGGTCCCCATCTTCAAAGCAACCAAAGGTATTAAGGTCATAATTTTATCGTCACAGTTGTTGTACTTCTGGTCTTCAGCCACTGTTTTCCCTGGTGTGACTGCAGCATTAACCAGTCATTTCAGCTGTGAAGTTTTGGGGAGTATGGATTTCTGTACTTTCATTCACCCAAACTTTGTTGAGATATCGGACTGAAGCGATGACCGTCATCCTTCATGTTAAAAAAAGGATAATCAATGTATGGTTTCAAAAAGTCTGCACTGATTATATTTGTTAATCAACAGAAGATAATGTCAGTGGACCATTTCCTTAGTACAAAGTACGAAATACAGAGCAACAAGGACGCCTGTGAAAAGACATATTGATGCTAGAATTTCTTCGACGCTCAGATGAAAAATAAATTCTATTTGCAGCTGTTGCTCTGAGGTGGAGGCCGAATTATCAGAGACACATCTGAAAGAGATAAACTTTTTTTTCATGCCTTGACATATCTAAAGGAAAGAAAGAAAGAAGTTCACGGGCGATGCTGGCACTTTGCAATTTTAATATGTTACAGTAGTATAATGCTGTATTATAATAACAATTAATGCGTATTATACAGTGACATGTGCTTGTTTTTTTTCCTCTTGCACTAGTTTTGCCATTTGCATGTGCGCCATTGTTCACATGTGACAGGTGGCAGACACTTGTGTGCCTGACTTAGGGCAGCTGTTGTGCAATAAAATCAGCAGATTTTGTTGCATTTTTCGGGAAGATGAATCCACGGTAGATGCGCAAATGGATGTGAGTAAAAGAGAGTCGCACATGGAGAAAATGGAGCAGCCCGGAGACAAGGCTCTGGATGAGACTTTGTAAGATGAGACAAAATGTTAATGTAGCCGCAGGGTTTAGTTTCACCAATTATACAGTGCGTTGCGTTGAAGGATGAAAAGGATCTGCTTTAAGCCTGTGTAGCCCTGAGTGACAAGCAGGGTCTTTTCTGTTGTAACACAGAGGAATTATGTATTAGGCCTCATCATCATTATTCTCCCTATGACAATGGCAAGAGGACAAAAGGTCCTGACACCCTATCAGGGTGTATTTAGAGTGTGTGAATCACTGTTTGTGCATGTTAGTGTATCTCTGCATGCTCATGTCTCTTTCTCTGTGTGGCTCTGACAGCCAGTGTGAACAGAAATCTACTGAGCATCGCACCATGAGAGAATGCATTCATATTTGGTCCAGCTGAAATAATGATAAGATCAGTGAGGAGATAGAAAGAGCCGGAGTCGCTGTCAGTCTAATGGAGTGAAAGGGCAGTTTTCTCTCTCTCAGGCTTTGGTTCACTCTGTCAGACCAGTGTATGAGGGAAAACGGACGAAAGAGGGGGATCACACCGAGCTCATGGTGGGATGCAGGGATGCGGATGGTAGAGGGAGAAATGTGGGAAAAATAGCAAACAGAAAGAGTGTATGAGCATTTTTTGTGACACGCGGCGGTGGGTGCGGTAAAAGCTATGCTGAGTATGTGGCCAGGCAGGGACTTTTAGGTGGAAAGAGAAGCCGCCGTTGTTCGTGTGTGGCATCGCGTGCAGCTCGCTTCTGTACCTTTGTGAAAAAAACACAGCTTTCATTTGTTTTCTGACCCTACACCCCCACCTCACTCCCCCTTTGTCTCCTGCCCCCTTCCCTATTTTTCCACATCTTGTTTTCTTCCTCTCTTATAAAGGAAGAAAGAAAAAGAGGAGGAACAAAAACGGGCCAGATTGGGGAGTAGGGGGCGGATGAATCGTTATAGGGAGACTCATCTTTGTGATTTAATTTGAACCGAAATGCCAGAGAGCCACGCAACCTCTGCAGTGACAGAGGACAGGGAGGGGCAGGGCCTCGGACACAACCGTGGACACACAGACACAGATACACGCAAGCAGAGAAAGGCACATGCGCATATTTATACACAAAAACGAAGAGCGGGGAGTGAAAATAACAGGAGGGTGGAAAAAAATAAAAAGGAAAGTCTGCAGTGAGACTGGAAGTCTCTGCTGGTTTGACACTGAAGAAAAATAAGGGCCAGAGTGGAGACTGACTTGGGGGATAAAAAGAAAAAAAATGAGGCAAAGACCCAGTGGCTCTGTGGCTGTGAAGGGCAAAGGGAGAAAAAATTAAAAGAGGGAGGAAAAACAGGCAGAGATGAAGGTGCTTGTCAGTACATTGTAAAAATGGGAAAGAAAGAAAGAAAGCACAGGAAGAAAGAAAGAAAGAAAGCGCAGGAAGAGAGAAAACACATTAAAGAATATCCACAGACCCTAAAGCAAAAGAAGAGATGGGGTGTGTGGAAGGGGTTAAAAAAGAAAACACACACACACACACACAAAGACACACACACAACCTCTCTCGCTCTATCCCCCTTTCTTGGTCTGTCTTTCTACTTCTCTCAGCTTGATGCCCCGGGTCAAATAACCATATCTCCATCTCAGAAGCACTTCTCATCCAGGGACTATAAAGGGAAAAAAAACTCATGCAAATGCTTGACTTGCTCATGCACACACACACGCACATTCAAACACAATTGGATGCTCTCCTATTAGCAGCTGCCATCATGGTTCACAAGTTCCTAACACACATGAGGCCCTAATTATTCAAACATCATGTACAATTATGCTCTGACACTGGAGGCCAGGCGAGGGTGGTAATGTATTCCTGCCAGATGTTGGTTAGTAGCTATTAGACTCCATCCTGACAATAGCTGGTCACAAGAGTCAACTCAGTTTTGTTTTGTTTGGTTTTTTTTTGCCAAAAGTAACAAATAAATGTTTAGCATTCAGCCTGTTGTGGTTGAACAGGTGATGTCCATTTCAAACGGAGTCTAATAGATGCATCAATGTAGTGTTTCAGTAGGAAGGGTGTAACTACGAGCCGTATTAGAACTGAGATGCAATCACAAAGAAACGAATGAATTTAACAATCGGATTGGCCCCCAGGAGTTGACCCTCGCACAGTCACGCAAGTGACCTCCTCCTTCCTCCCCCAAACCTCCATACACACACACACACACATATATTTACACAGCTCAAGGCAAAGCAACAACCTTGAATACAAATCAACTCAAAAGGGAGATGGGAGATCTACGGCTCAATCTGAGAAGTTTAATTATGAATGACGACACACACACACACACACACACACACACACACACACACACACACACACACACACACACACAGTGGAGTAGAACAACAGATAAAAAGAATTGGGGGAGCATTTAGACCTTCAAGGTTATCTTAAAGGAAAGGTGAGTTCCTGCCCCGTCTAAGACTGTGTTCAGCACACTTGAGGCATTACCAGTGACATATGCCAGCCATTCAGGAAGATAATAATCCTTACCTCAAGCCATAACTAAACATAAAGCATTTATAACCTAATTCTTAATAATCTTTGATCTGCGACTTCTGTAAACTCCAAGTGCTGTTGTGGAGGCCTGCTGCACATCTCAGTCACTCTAATCTCTCCACTATTCAAAAAGTCCCAGAAAGCCCCATCCATGCTTGATTTTTATGTGTGAAAGTGAAAAGATGGTGGGGACTGGATTACATTCATCAACAGATGTTGATAACCAAACAAACTGATCATTCATGAAGGCAGTCGTCTGCATATGTTTGTTGTTCTGGTCTTAAAGTGTTTTATTAACTGAATGTACAGTAGCTCAAACCTAATATACTGAATAACAAGGCACAGGTGATAGAAGGACACAGGTGGAAACAATCCACGGTGGATGCATGGTGAGGTTGGGGAATAAAAGCCCAAAGGCATGAACGGAACAGGAAGTAAAACTAGAGCAAGACTCTGGAGAAAACTCACCTTCGAGGCACAAAAGAAAGAAATGAACGATAAGTGGCTAACACTGAGACATGAAAGGTAACATTAATATGTGATGACAGAGACCAGAGAAACTGGAAGAACCACAAAACCAGCCAGCGTAACAAACCAAAACACAACACAGACAAAACAAAACCACGACATGTCTACAGATCTGACATTTCCAATATCTTCAATCTGTTCAACCTCACCCAAAAGACTTTTATCTGAGTTTAGTAACTGGCATCTAATGAATTTTGAAAATCAATCAAGATTTTCTTGTTGTTCAATGAACATCCTTGGCTTTCCATTATTTTCTAACCCGCATGTGCCGAGCAATAAATCCAGAGTGTAAACAGCAAATCGATCAGTATTAAAACGAATATCAGTTGCAGTCCTGTACCATTTATCACCATTATCGATTTAATGTCTAAACTTTACCACCAGCTGCCTGACAGAATGATGAAAAACGTTATAAAACTAAATGTATTATTTCATAGCATCCTGTTTTAAGCCCTCATTAGCATTACAGCACAAGGCCCGACTAACAATGCGATTATAACCCGACACTTCAAACATCAGCATGTGCGACACGTGTATAACACATTCTACAGATGGCTTTAATGCTGCAACAGCTGGAAAACGCATTGACACTCAGCTCCCTGCTTACCCCCGTATCTGGATAGGTGATCCAGCCCAGCTCTGAGGTAGACTCTGTTGTGTCCAGCAGCATCACTGTGGGACGAAGAATCAGAGACAAAGAAAAGGTTAGAAAAAACAGACAGGAAACAGTTGCGTATGCTTTCATTTTAACGCAAAGAAAACAGGCAGACGTGTGCGCGAGCTTTCAGTTTAAACTTTGATTTCAGCTCAAGAATTTAACTGAGAAACGGAGTCGGTGCTATAAAAGCTAAGTGACTGTTAAACAGAATTTGTAATCATGAGATATTCTCTGAAGGACTGAAAACCAAATAGTGTGTGAGGCTGTGAGGCCATAAAAACATATAAAACACGGATTTGCTCCAGTGAAACTGAAGCAGAAAAGCACTTTGCAGAGTATCCCTTTTGAAGGCGGTTGTATAATTAATCCTTTTTTTCTCCTTTTGTAAAATACCACAAGTTGTTGGAACCATTAGTCTCATTTTCTTTGATTTTTCTCCCACCACATCCAATAAAATCCAGGAGAGCTCCAGCTGTGTGCATCTGTCAAATTTAATGACTGCTATAAAGTGATGATGCACTCTGGCACACTATTCTGGTGTTTGAAAAATTAAACTGATTGACCTGATGGGGCACTGTGATTAAAGGTCAAATTTCCCAACTTTAAAAGGCCATAACAGTTACTGTCACGATTTGTTGAAACTTGCCGTGCTGATGCTTTTCATAGCTTGTCCCAAAGGGAACCTTCGTCATGTTTCGGGGGGGTTAATATGTTCTGTGTTCCTCTTTTGTTGCAGGTTTTGCTCATTAACCCTGATCAAGAGCGAAAGCACAAGAATAGCATATGAGTTTTATGCTGGAGTGTGTTTTCCCATAATTTGCTTTAAGTGCTTCAAAAAGCAAGCTGGCAAAGAAATTACACACACAGACACACACATGCAAAGTGACTTTAATGCTGAGTGTTGCGTGCTGACACATGGCAGCTTCCCACACAAAAACTGAAGCCCTTGAATTTTCCATTAGCATTCCAAAACCGTGGTGGCTGCCGCTCCTTCAGTCTGGCACAGTCTGCGCTCGGTGCTGTTCAAGAGCCACCGACTGAACGCGGGCCAAAGTTTGTCGTGTACGCAGAGGTACCAAAAACATCAGACTTCAGATTTGGATGCTTGCACAGATGGAGGTAATGGAGGAAAACGCTCAGTGCCTGATTGCATCAAGCACAACGCTAATCAACTAAAGGGCTGTAGACACGTATACACACGAGACATTGTGGGAGGCCGGCGGCATTCGCCTCTGTTTACAAATAAATAATTCTTCTCATTGTCGTTATACAATTTTTATGTTTTTGCTTCCATTGCGTGTCACACAATAATTCACCAGAGAAAAGGGGCCTCTCTTTTTTCCTGCCTCTCTTGCTGACAACCAGACAAAGGGTGGCGGAAAAATATTATCTACATAATCAGCACTCGCACACGGGCATTTGAAAAGGTTCCCCGGTCCACCAAAACACCAATAGATACATTGTGTCTCTCTCCTTCTGCCAGTCAAACACAGAAGTACCCAGTGGCACCGTGAGCACACTCAATCCTGCCGCATGCCCCAATAAATAAAACAAATAATAAGAAAACGATATTATTTGTGGCTCATGACATGAATCGACCCCACCCCTACTGTTCTCTGACTGCTCTGTAAACAGATTTTTTCGGATTATAGTCACAGATGGACACCCCGCAAATCTGTGCTTCAAGCCTTCCTTTCCCTCCTCTCTTTTTCCCCCCTTTCCAAACCCCTCAGCCTGTCTATCCGTTTTCACCCACTGGCTGGTCTTTATGTCACTCTTAGTAAATTCACACATTTTTCCATGGAAGTGCTCCAGGATTTGGAGTGATATGAATTGTATCAAGAAGAGAATACAAATAGACTGTGACAGCTAAGGATTATATGCAGCCACAGGCATCAGAATAAACAGTTTTTAGTGCCGCGCACGTCTGGGAAGCTTGGCTAGTGGAATTTTGGAGGCAATTGGGATAAAATCAGCTAAAGGAAGAAAGCTAAACTCACCAAGCCAGGGATGCTTAAACCTCCGAATTTTGACAGTATCCACCAGTGAGACACCTTTCATGCTTTGTTTGACTCTAGCTGGAAACGGTGTACAATTCCAGCTGTGCGTGATGGCATGCAAACTCATTATTGATTAGTTTCTTGGCCCTGTAAAAAATAATCTTCAGTTTGTCAGATTGACTAACATGTTATATGTGACCTCATTAAGCACCATTTGATTTATATCAGATAAGCAACAGACACAAATGCTGCAAAAGTGTCATTCCAAATTCAATTAACCTTCTGCTTCAGGGCACAGTCATGCATAAATAACACGGAGCAAACTATTTTTGACATTAATATTTATGCCTCTACTATTTAGTTTCTTGTCGCTGGGCCTTGGGGACAGAGGTCCTTACATCGCCTCCGCTCTTTCTTCCCGGGATAAACCTGTACATGAAGATTACATGGAGGAGCGTTCAAAGTGCTTCATGCATGTCTCGTTGCGTGACATTAGCATGTTGAATAATTCACCATGACATCCTAAGATTAGCATTGAAGTGGTGTGTTATGCACACCTTTCAAAGATTAGTTGGAGCTTGGGCACCGTGGCTCTGGTGCGCGTCTGTTTGTGTGTGCGTGAGACAACCATGAACAAAAGAGAGGGACATTTACTGGCAGGTCCACTTGGCAGTAAAAGCCCCTTTATTTAACTCTCAGACAGCCCACTCCATGTGCGCAGAGCACTACAGCATCTCCGTTATTGGTCCATCCGATGGCTGAGATGCTCGAAGTTTGTCCCTGACAGTTTGACGAAGTGCTGAGTCTGCAATCTGAGCCTGAGTGCTGCGTTAATGCACGCTGGCCTCTTACGTCCTCCTGTTCCACTCTGATTTTTTTTACTCGCTCTGCTCGATAACTCTACCTCCATTTTGTCCCTTGTCCCTTGTATCCTCCTCCTCTTTGCATGTGGATATTATTCATCCAAAATGTGACAGTAGGGTCTGTCAGATAAAGAGAAACACTCTTCTCCGTTACTGATGGCAGCTCTGCTGTTTGTGTAGAAAGTGGTTTGATACTCAGAGAGAGAAAAGGGGGATACAATATAGTAGACAAAGCATCATTATGGAAGGAGAGGCTGGCGGGATTGTGTTTGCGCATATGAATGTGTTTCTTTTGCTCTTTCCCCCTCTCTTTCTGTCCACGGTGTGGGTGTAAATGCTCTTCTGCCTTGTTATAGAGGTGACCTGCATTAGTTCATGAATGTCCCCTCCGCAACTGGAGTGCTCACTTCAGCTGAGTGACCCTCTCTGCTCTCTCCATCCATTTCTCTGAGTCCAACACTTTTCCTCTCTGTGCAGCCATGCATACACCGACACTCTCCAGTGCTAAGTGTAGTGCCGTTGTTCATGTCACGCCTCTTTGACAGCAGATGTATGCTACTTTAACGCCAAATTTTGCAAGGCAGTGGAGCCCCTCCTGACTCACTCTGAAAAGAAATTTGCTGTAAATATTAATGCCTACTAGAGGGATCCGAGTGTAAATTATGCCTTAACACCAAAGTGAATGCACCAGCAGAGAAGACATAGTCAGCGAGCTCACAGGTAACAACACGTTACAGAAACACACTCATGCACACACACACACACAAAAAAATTCCCACAGTGCCTGCAAGCGTTTTGAGCAGCGGTCAGCTTGTGTTTTGTCTTTTGTCCACTCATCCACCCATCTCCACCCTTTCTTGATACACTCCAGATGCTCCCTCCCACAGACAGTCAGTCAAGGACAAGGCCCTTACCAAACCCTCATTACAAACAACCACAGTGAGAGAGTGATACGCCAAGTCAGAAAGCGAGCAGGAGGAGGTTGGACGAAAGGAAGGAAGGGGATTAACATGTCTCCAGAAATAAGCATGCACATGTCAAAGGGAGTTATCTCAAAAAAACTGAATGAAAGCGCAGCTGCACCAAAGAGCACAAACAACCAGGTTAGATGATCAATCCCTACGTGCAGGCAGCAACAGGCACAGGTAGGAGGACACATCAAAACAACTGACTCTCTGTCTTGATTACAGCATGTTTGCTAAAGTAAAACTGGCAGACATGAAGATTTTAAAATTATAGTTTGACTTCTTGAGAGAAACAGTTATTTGCTTTCTGTCAATCTTGTTGCAATAAAAACCTGTTTTAGTTGTTCAGGCAAGCTCGCAGGCAGATTGAAATAACAGGCATTAGTGGGATGGTGGCAAGCAGCAACCACTGCAGTTGAAAAAATGAAGCCAGCACAAAGTGCCAAAAAGTGCAGCTCAAATGGCTGACTCCAAACGTGACTGAATCCTCACAGACGCCATGTTAAAATGTCCAAATAAACATGTTACAGGCTGGTGCAAAACACAACAGCTGGATGGACTTTTTTTTTTTTTTTTTTCAAATTTTCCAGTTTAAAATGTATTTGCTTTTATTTTCTAGCAATTATGCAGCCAATGTGTCACCTCAGCTAACTAAATTGGACTTTTGTTGTGTTTGTGCTGTTTGGGCCTTTTACATGTTTTTAGAACAATTATCTGACAGTTAAGAAGAAGTCTGTGCTCCAGTTTTGATGAGTGAAATCCTAATGTTTTATTTATTTATTAGCTCGCACTAATCAGGTATCTTTAAGGTATCCATACAGTCTATGGATGCACATTGCTAAGCTAGCTAGCTAGCGGTACTTGATAACTTAGCACTCTAAATATAGTCAGTTCTAGCTCCAAAAACCAAGATGGTGACGTTAATGGGTCTCTCAACATTCCTGGAAGGGATTCATAGTGTTTCACTTTGTTCTTCACACCGAAAGTGCCACAAAGAGCTGTAACAAATGAAAAAAGTAAGCTTGGGAAAGAAGTTCAAACCCAGCTTACTTTCACACTTCTTCATAGCTGGCCAATCACAGTGTGAAGTGGGTGAGAATATTGTATTGTCAGTTTCAGAAAGTCACAGAAATGGTCCGACAAAGGCCTCCAAATCTGAAGGTGGTAAGGAATATATGACTAAATA